TACAGGAAGTCGACAGATTCGGGGCGGAAGTTGCATGGTGTGGGGTGCTTTCTGTGGGAACAACCGTTCCCGACTTCTGGTCATCCGTGGAAACCTCACAGCTGCTGCTTACCGCGACCAGGTGCTCACCCCTGAACTCGTTCTTTTCATGGCGGCTCATTACCCAGGTCTACAGTTCCAGCATGATAATACTCGGCCGCATACCGCGATGTTGACACGAAATTTCCTTCAAAACGCTGGAATCAACGTCATGGACTGGCCATCGAGGTCCCCTGACCTTAATCCAATAGAGCACGTTTGGGATGCGCGGGAGAAGGCTTCGTGGTCTTAGGAACCAACCTCAGAATTTGCAGGAACTTGGTGCTGCCTTGCAAGAGCAATGGCGCAGAATCCCCAACCACGTGTTCACAAGCATCAGGCAGTCGATGAGGAGACGGTGTTTGGCAGTGGTGAATGCGCGGGGCGGCCATACACGATATTGAACTGAGAAATTTCGCATTTTTATTCTTGTGACTTGACATTCTGTATACCCATGTTTTGGAACGGCGGTGTAGCCTAATGGAACTGATTATGGCACTGTCAGTGTATCGAGTACATCACACAGATCTCAGCAATGAAATAATAACAATTTAACCATCTTACCATCTCTTGTTCTTTTATAGTGCCCTGAAGAAAGAATGTGAAGTTTCTTTTTTGACTCAGTATATTAACTTGTGCGCTCAATATATTAACTTGTGCACTCAAGATACTAACTTGTGCGGTCAATATACTAACTTGTGCGCTCAATATATTAACTTGTGCGCTTAATATATTAACTTGTGCGCTCAAGATACTAACTTGTGCGCTCAAGATAACTAACTTGTGCGCTCAATACATTAACTTGTGCGCTCAAGATACTAACTTGTGCGCTCAAGATACGAATGAACTTGTGCGCTCAATATATTAACTTGTGCGCTCAAGATATTAACTTGTGCGCTCAATATATTAACTTGTGCACTCAAGATAACTAACTTGTGCGCTCAATATGTTCACTTGTGCGCTCAAGATAACTAACTTGTGCGCTCAAGATATTAACTTATGCGCTCAAGATATTAACTTGTGCACTCAAGATAACTAACTTGTGCGCTCAAAATATTAACTTGTGCACTCAAGATAACTAACTTGTGCGCTCAAGATACTGACTTGTGCGCTCAATATATTAACTTGTGCACTCAAGATAACTAACTTGTGCGCTCAAGATAACTAACTTGTGCGCTCAAGATATTAACTTGTGCGCTCAAGATATTAACTTGTGCGCTCAATATATTAACTTGTGCGCTCAAGATAACTAACTTGTGCGCTCAAAGTATTAACTTGTGCGCTCAAGATTACTAACTTGTGCGCTCAATATATTAACTTGTGCACTCAAGATAACTAACTTGTGCGCTCAATATATTAACTTTTGCACTCAAAATAACTAACTTGTGCGCTCAAGATATAACTTGTGCGCTCGATATATTAACTTGTGCGCTCAAGATATTAACTTGTGCGCTCAAGATACTAACTTGTGCGCTCAATATATTAACTTGTGCACTCAAGATAACTAACTTGTGCGCTCAATATATTAACTTGTGCGCTCAAGATAGTAACTTGTGCGCTCAAGATATTAACTTGTGCGCTCAAGATACTAACTTGTGCGCTCAATATATTAACTTGTGCACTCAAGATAACTAACTTGTGCGCTCAAGATATTAACTTGTGCGCTCAAGATATTAACTTGTGCGCTCAAGATATTAACTTGTGCGCTCAAGATGTTAACTTGTGCGCTCAATATACTAACTTGTGCGCTCAATATACTAACTTGTGCGCTCAAGATAAATTAAATTTACTTCAACTGAAAGCTTTACTACAGAACATTTGTGCGGCGTGCCACTGAAGAAATGTGGAAAGCGTTTGAAAATACGTACAGTACATGTAGTTAGAAAAGGTGATATTATACAAAGAAATTGTTTATCCATTGAATGTATTATGCAGTCTGTACACCTGCCGACTCTATATCCAGCCACGAATACACTTGACACATGTTTGTATGCATGACGGCGGTCTATAAATAATCGAGTCTGGGCCAGACAATCCAGTGATCAACAGCATGAGCATCGACCTTCGCAATTTGGATGACATGTGTCAACCAAGTCAGCAAGCCTGACCACCCGATCCGGCCTGTCGCCTCTAGGACAGGCATGGGTTACTGAAGATCAATTCTAACCCGGATCGTCAGGGTTCAACTTAAACAATTATGTATGTGACTTAAAATTTTGACATTCATCGTAATTGGTAAAGCGCTTGTATTCGAGTTGGTAGCAAGGACTGACTGACTGTATAAAACCGTGATGTCCGGGGTTTGCGTCCATACATTCGGAGTTGTTGTGACAAAGGCGTGGCGTCTATATACATTCTTCCGGTACTAGTTTAAAACAAACACCAGTCAAAAGGCTTCAGATCATCCTTAAAGTCTCATATGATTCCTTAATATAATAAAGATTCATTCTGGCGCCAATTTATTGCTGAATCCAGACTTACAGTTTGAAACTGGTGACTAAGACGGCGTTAATTGCTGAGGAGAGATCAACGTTTAATCTCATAATGTGAGCAAAGTATGTGATCATGAGGCGAAGCCTGCAAATTCAGCTACCTCAGTCCGACAGTTACAATGGTACAGAACTTTGCACATCAAAATGGGACTTTTGAGATGATTTAAGTTCAAAGAGGTTTAGAACTATTGCCAAAACGGCATAATTTCAAATGCAGTTCAGAATTTATGATGTAGGAAAACCCTTCCAATTTACAGTGAACAGAAATTACCGAGTAATTGCCATTAATATATTTTTAAATATGGCGGCGACATCGATTTTGATCCTCGCGAACACTCGAGATATAATTATTGGTTTTAGATTCATTAGTCAAGTAGTAGTCTGAGTGAAGGCCGGGTGTTCATGACGCACAGCGACCATGGTAAAAGCCTAATTGACTTTCTGTCATGTAAAACACCGATTCACAAACAGAATTCATCTATGCGTTTACTAAAAGATGTATCCCTCCAACGAAATTTAAAACTGATTGGAAACAAAACAGTCTGACAGAATGAAATGCTCCGTAAAAGTTTTTTTCTACCCTGGCGTCAGCAAATATCTGAATTTAAAAACAGTTTAACACAAAGAGCAATCCATTATTGATTAAGGTATGTGTGTTTGTTTACTTGTTGTTTAAGGCTGCTCTCGTCATTTTTCAAGGTATATGTCGGCGGTCGGTAAATAATCGAGTCTGAACCTGACAGTTGAGTGAGTGACATGAACATCGATCTATGCAAATGGAATACGATGACATGCATCAACCTGATCAGCGACCTGACCACCCGATCCCGTTAGTCGCTTCTCACGACGAGCACCGGTTGCTGAGACAAACTCTAACCCGCATCTTCAGAGGGGCCATGAACATATGAGATACAACACTATGATTATACCACCGTGAAAAGCTGGGCGGTCGAGTTTATCCGTTTGAATTGTTTCAAGACGCCCCTAAAAAGATCTTAGACTCACAGTTTTAAGTAGAATATTATCTCGTTTTGACCCAGTCACCATACAAAATACCACCCTGAGACAGAAACATCTGTTCGATTGTCGAACATCTTGAAATGATGCTTAAGGAATACCAACGCAATGGAAATTAATGTTTGAATACCATTGCGATGGAGAAACATTTTATGGATAGGTGGAACACCAAGCTGGTAGAGAAATACCAGCGCGATCGAGAAACATCTGTTCTCAGGGGCGTAGGTACCATATAAGAAAAACCCGGGCTTACACATGAATTTAAAAATGAAAGGTGAGCAAGCCCTCAATACAAGCTTTGCAACCTATAGACTAGTCTGTCTCACAGTCCCTGAACCACATTATTTTCCCCACTGCCAAGCCTTCTCTGCAGTGCTAAAGCCCTAAATAAAGCAAATCTAGGTTTCCTCAGGTTCAGGAATCTGAATCTCTGGTCTCCCTAGGGCTCCTTTTCAATATAAATGGGCTTGTTTGTTACTATCAAAATTATATATATATTCAGAGACTAAGGTACATGGGCGGATCCAGAAAAATTTTATTTTAAGGGGGCGGATCGAACCCTCCCCCCCCCGGCTCCGCCAACGCAAAAAAAAATCTTCAATGTGGTCTTAAGTCATTTTCAGAAGGGGGGGTGGGAGGTGAAACACCCCACCCCACCCCACCCTGGATCCGCCAATGAGATATATAGCGTATCTGTTGATATTGAGATTCCAGATCAAAGATACAAGATTCAGGATGTTTATCTGTAGAAAAGGCTACATTACCCACAGTACAGATGATAGGCTAACGCTTAGTCCCTGAATATACTAGTATATAATTTTGATAGCACAAACACATTTAAATTGAAAAGGAACCCGGTGAGTTGGGAGATTCAGGTACCTGAGGAATGTCCGTTAAAGTATAAGGACAACGAAAATACCGTCCAAGGCCACTGTACATAGCACTCACTTACTCACTCACTCATGCACTGTAATAGTTCAGACTGCTATGCTCCCCTGTTTGGTTCCTGTCTTTTACTAAACCGCTTCATGAATATCTTTAAATAGTTTTACTGGGATCTGAACGTATTTTCAATAAATTAACATATTTTAGTGGATTAGTCACCTTAATCAAACATTTACATATATATGCATTTACGTATGTAATTGTTGCTATAGATACGTCGGTGTAACTGAATAACATTTTGTGGGAACTTAAGTTGCAATAATTCATAGCAATATAAGAATATAATATCGTGAAAACTGTATTTATCAATATAGTGCACACGTGGAAAAGTGCATGTTTCAATAAACAATCATCATTCAAAAACGTCAAAAATCATTATGGCTTTCAACAAATGCTCCCTTGCATTTATTCTTAGCCAATCAATGACGACTTCATATCATGTGCTCAAATCCAGCCAATCAGAAGCTGCGACATTTCATTTCTTCGAGGAAGGAGCCAATATGGCTACCCATCACAAAGATACAGTTTGACTGGAGACATGGACTCAGTTCATCCCTTTTTGGAGTTTGTTTATCAAAATAGTCTGTGTTTATAGTTGGTGAGTATTTAACTATCTGATTATCTATCCGTCACCTCTAAGCAACGCAAACTTAGCGCTTCAGATTTTGGCGCATTATGCGAGCAACAAACGCGACCTAAGTCAATAAATACGCATTTGTGGTTGTGTATAAGTACCGATCCATCCATTGGTAGTGACCATCGTGTATATAAGACTAGTGCTATGCTTTGAATGTTCGGTTTGGAGCCTACGTTTTAAAGCGTATTACCTGCAGTGAAATTGTTGTTTTTTTATTTAATTAATCTATTATCTAACGGTCAGTTTATCAACCGAAATATTGTTTACTTCCCGCCACACACGGCTTGGTAAACTACTGTCTCAAGAAGTGAAAGGTATCTATCATGCAATGATACTGGCGAAACAACATAGACCTTGTGGTAGTTTCATTATATTGTGTATAAAATTATATGAGATAAGTGTATTTTAGATATGCGTCTAATATCCCTTGAAAATTTGAGCAATTTAATGGGTCCCTCCCTTACACACACACACACACACACACACCCCCCCCGTCAGGTGTTCAACATTAATCGTGCACATGCATCCTCTACATAACTGTCATAAGACAAATAATGAATCATTTAAGGATGAATATTTATTACCCAGTGTACCAGTCTTGAGGTATGCCAGTCCTTGTGATAACACTATGGTGTCTTTTAAAAGAGTATAGACATGTCAATTCGAGTTCAGATTTCAAAACTAAACCATTTCATGATGAGGTCAATCCAACAATCTACACATCGCCTTGTAGAAAATTCATTATTCTCCCTAAATCCATGTAAAACCTGAATTATAGTTTGATGTATAAGCTCAGCTCTTTTGCTACAGACAGATGGCATTGTGACTCTTCCATGATTATATCCTATTTTGACATTCCTATTTGAAACAACAAATTACATTACAAATTTTGGGTGACAATCTTGAAAAAGACCCCATCTAAAACCCTGCAGCATCAGTACCCACACATCAGCAAAACCCTTTCCATCACTGTCAAGGGGAAGTAATGATGAACCTGCATGCAAATTACAATCATAACCATGATTACCATAAATCCTGTTTGTGCTCCATTCTAACTGACCTAAACTCTGCATCACCTTTGCTATTGCATATACCTTAACCTTACCTGTTATGCGGAACTACTGTTCAAAGTTTTATCACTTGTATAACAACAGCAATGACAGTGATAGGGCCTTGGGGTAGGCTAGTGGTTAACTTAAAGCGTTTGCTCATCACGCCGAAGACCTGGGTTCAATTCCCCACATGGACACAATGTGTGAAGCCCATTTCTGGTGTCCCCTGTCGTGATATTGCTGGAATATTGCTAAATAGTGGTGTAAAAATAAACTCTCACACTCACTCTGAGACTGATAGAGGGTAACTGAGTAGTTCTTGGTAGTATGGAGCCAAGTGGTTCTGTCATGCATAACCATAAATATGTAAAATGTATGAAGGTTATTGTTTGATAATGTTTCAATTTGGACATTAAATTATTGTGACAACAGGGTTGATTGTGAACTAGTTGTGCCAGTAGCTACAACTTTATTTCTTTACATATGACAGTGAAGTATCCTTTTCAGGTGGGTGTAAAGTTATGGCATCTCAGGAAAAGATCAAACTTCTATTTGAAGATCTTGGGAAACCAACTTTACGAGGTGTACGGAAGTGTCCTAAATGTGGAACCTATAATGGCACTAGGGGGATTAGTTGCAAGAACAAGGCTTGTGATGTTGTGTTCAAGGAGAAGGAACGGAAGAGGGGCCATAGTGCTGATGCAGTCAAAATCATCACTGGTTCAACAGTGCAGGTTTTCTCAGTGCGACTCCGTGATCGAGGACCTGACTACCGAGGGTTTGTACAACTACCACTAGTTCAAGATCTAGATGGGAATCCAGCCACAATGGTAGATCCCTCAGTGCTTGCTACAGCAGCAAGGTGCTATGTGGACACATGTAGTCGGAACACAAACCAGATCAACATCCAACAAGATCAACCTTGTGCTCACATCAAAGCTGCCATTGAATGCACAGCTGAAGCTCAGCCCCTCACTCTGAAGAACTCTGTACTAAATTCCCTTCAAGTCTCAAATGAAACAAAGCAAGCAATCTGGCTTCTGGCCACCGAGACAACAGGTCCCCTTGTACAGAGAGTCACTAAGAATATCATGGTAGTCAAATGCAAACCCAATCCCAAACAACCACTAGGCTTCCTTCATTTTGCCTTCTTTGAGACATCGAGAAACCGAAACGCACCAGACTACAAGTTTCAATGTAGCTGTAAGATATTTAAGGTAAGAATTTTCCCCATAAGGTATTATTGCTGTTAATCATTGGTTTTGAAACACTTTAAGGACTTACTTATACTAATGTGAGTGACACATGATGAAGTTTGTTGGAGATATGGAAAATATTCATCATAATATGGTTTGTCTGGAATCTGTCCCCACTATTTCCGTTCAAGGATCCAAGGACTAAGTGTAGAATTTGTGTACAAAATCCTTTTTGATGAGATGTTTATTTAGTTTTTATGATACTACCATGACTAATTTGTGGCTGTCACAACCCTTTGGCTATAACTTGTAAGTTGCAAGGGTTAAAGGGCCACTGATCCAGAGCAATTTCCGTGGACTGGTTGTTGCTTTTGTTATTGTTTTTCTGCCGTGAGTACCCGGATGATATCCCATAATTCTTGACTGGTTCGTGACCTCTGCTGCGCTACTCGCATGCGCAATTGATAGTATAAGTATAGATTGATCAAAGAAAAGAGGAGATCTTTTTTTCTCGGTAATATTTCCATCTTCATTAATTTGATAACAAATGAAAACATTTTGAAGTTTAACCATCTGCCAGTGGTGAAATATGTCAGGACTGAAAAGTAACGAAGTCAATGTACGTCTTTATATTTTGTCTTATAATCCTCATTAGTTTATTATCATCTTTGTATGCATTTTGAATACTAATAAAATGCACACGATATGCTTATACTTATTGTTAATTTATAACATGACTGTAATATCTAGACATTTTATAGATTGCCAACATCGATTATGTATTATTTCACACACACGCCCCAAGTGTGACCTAGTGTATGCTGTCTTATTACACTTCACGGCGAAAAAATGATTCTGCATAATGCTGCAACGAATGAATAAAAACAAAATGCAAATATTAAAATGAAAACAGATCATTTTAAAGTTACAGCAACAATGTCAGGTTATCCTACCTTTTACGAGGAATGTATCCATCAATATCCACATAAAGGAAAGACATGCCATTCACCTTCAGCTGACCAAGAATCCTGCTCCATGTCATGTGTCTTGTAACAGTCTAATATGCGAAAAAATGGTATATTGTTTCAGGTTTTTCACATTGTAGAGTCTGATTTGTCACCCAAGATAGCACACCTGGCAACTTATTGCATCATGTCCGCCATTCTTTAACAAAGTAATTTAGTTAGCCAATAATGAGCAATCAATCAATGTATTGGCGGTTAATCCTTTGAAGAGAGGACGTTGTTTTTACACAGGCACTTTACGACAGGGTGTATTCAGGTTAGATTAGTAAATCTACATACATAAACACTACCTTTTGACAAATCCACTGTGCAAGATAAAAGCAATTAATCAATCAGTGTGTTATCGGTTAATCCTTTGATCGATGTTTGTTTTTGTAACTCAGCTGATAATCCCTCTTGCTGCACTTCCATGCGCATATTACATAAGATGTAATACATTTGCCACATCAAACCTTAATTAATAATGTTGAGTATTTACTCGAGACACGAGAAATGCCAAATGGGAACCTTTGTCGGGTAATCTGAGTTGTGTTACCACTAATTATACCTGTTATAAATTCATTAACTGACAATCAAGTGAATGATGATAAATAACGTGTAGGTTTACCACCAAACACGGGTTACAGAAGGGAAGTAGTAATCGCTGTATTGCATGCAATTTTGATTGCCTGACAAAAACTTATAGGCCGACACTCTTTTGAGGATACGAACGGAACTGCATTGTTGCGTAAGAAATACATATATGCATTTGCTGTATATACCTATTTACCTAAGTAAATTTTCAGATTTTTTAGCAATGGCAAGGTGGGGTTGTTTAGTTTACAGATTCAAATACATCAAATGTGTGTTTTTTATATCATAGCATAGGTAATAAACATCATATTTTTACATGACATGATTGAATATCGAGAAAAAACACAGAATTAGGATCAAATTGGATCAGTCATTATACCATCCAGGCATTAGAAAGTCTGACAATGTTTACACTACTGGGATTCTTTATTAGAGTCAGACAAGAACTACCGGGATATTTTCAAATAACGGGCATCCACCTTTCCTAATGCCCCACTTTAAGAAATTCTGCCAAGGTGGACAGTGGCCCAGTCCCTGTGTCCGTCACGGTCAGTGAGCAGGTACCGACCAGCCTGCAGCTTGGTTTCGTAATTAGATTGTTGGCGAGAAACATTAATCACTCTGGGTCAGTGGCCCTTTAATTTGTCAGAGCACTCATCGGTCTCAGTTGTCATGATTATGATGCATATGATGTTGTTTCTGAATCATGTGAACTTAATTTACAAATCCTTTCAGAATTTCAAACCAGGTGTACCAAAGGATGACAGCATGAAGCGATGTGTCCACTTTTATGCTTGTATCTGCGCATTTGCTAGTGATGATAAATTGGCAGAAGAATTTGAGCATTATGTCAACTTGGACAATGCCTGTAAGTTTTTGTCTGCATATATCAGTATCATGAAAAGACTCATATTTTGATCAGCTTCATCAATATTCATCATGTTCATATGTACAATTATCAATATTTGGGAAAGGGTGGCCCAGTTGTCTACGGTGTTGCACTGCATAGATGTGTCCTTAGGCAACACCGAAAACAATAAGAGGTTGTTCCAATAACATTAACAATTCCAATATTTCTAGATTTGTCAGCACCATACTCATACTTGTAGGTATCGCTGAAATTGTTTATGTGAGACACACATCAATTACACCTTTCCTCCCAAAATAAGCTGATGGTCCTGTGATACAAATCAAATACTGTTCATAGTGATATAACAACTAACTCACACATTCATAAAGATTTTTTCACCATCATGTACAAACAGGAAATGTCTTCAATTTTTGTTTGCATCGAATTAAGTGAAAATCGTACTCAGAAGTGTTCTACAACTGCATACTAATTTAGTGACTAGATACTTTAATCTTATTTTGCAACCTACTCATATTTCTTTTTAATGAGTGATGGCATGTGTGATGTTCCAATAGTTTGTTTGCTTGACATGGTGAGACTGGTTTCAGTATCCACGATAACGCCAAGCGTCAGTGTGACTGAGCGGCAGGTGCTCACGATCTATCAAACAGCTGATGGTTCCACGCTTACCACTACTGACCCCAGCACACTCGAGGTCATCGTCACAGAGGAAGATATTCTTGGTCCTACGTCTGCCAAAAAGAAGAAGAAAGATGATACTCTGGGTAAGATGACCTTGCATTTGTTGGAACCAAACATTTTAATTATTTTAGGGCCGGTGGGGTAGCCTAGTGGTTAAAGCATTCGCTCGTCATGCCGAAGACCCAGGTTCGATTTCCCATATGGGCACAATGTGTGAAGCCAATTTGTGGTGTCCCCCACCGTGATATTGCTGGAATATTGCAAAAAGCAGTGTAAAACTAAACTCACTCACTCACTTTAATTATTTTAAAGGATTGATCTATGGTTTCTTCCGATATGATATAGAATGGTTGATTGTCCCCCACTGCAACATGGAACGGGGGACAATGTACTCAGCAGCAGACGTACGTATGTATGTCCGGAATCGATTCTTGTTAACGCGTTATCTCATGCACTGTGGTGTTCAATGTCTTCAAATTTGGTGATAGCCTACAATGGTGGATTACGCAGACACCAGTCGATTTGGGTGACCAGTCAGGGTGACCTTATTTTTAAGGTCACATGACACTTTTCAAAATCTTGTCATCGTGATAAATAAATCACACAAAAGGTAGATTTTTCCTTATCCTGACTCATGATCTTTTGCTTATCTCTCTTTCCCTTGCGAATGGTAGTGGAACACTTGAATCCCTTGTAGTTCCCGAAGCGGATGTAAAAATACACTCACCCACGAGTTACCTCCCTTTTCCTGCGCAAACAGTCATGTGACCAGCCTTACTTGTCACTCTCCCCCTTTTCGCCCAAGCGGATGGTTGGGCGAGAACTGGAGTCCCGTATACGGCAGATATCCTTTATATTTAGATCCTATTTATCAAAATTACGCTGTGTATGGTATTTGGCTATAACTATCATAAATTTTGAAGAAATTTTGTAATTTGTTACACTTTTTCATCGTAATGTAACGTGTTTACATTTTATGAAATCTTGCATTGTTTGCAGGCACCGGCTATCAGTGGCTGATCCTCACCCCCAATGCCCATCGTGCATTAAACCATGTTCTTCCACCTCACGTTGTACATATTGCAGTGATTTATCAAATGTTCAATTTAATCAATATTTGTCTTATATCTATAGACGTGCCATGGTTCGGGTGAGGAAGTCATCACAACAAGTCACGGTTGATAAACCTGGAGATCCACCCGGTAACCGTAGGTTGTTTGCTACTACAGAAATAAATAATTCTGGTGCTATGTTGAGTACGTTGCAGGGGCAGTCGTCTGTTACGGGTCGAAAAGAGTCTGCTACGACAGAGTTGACGCCCTCTCAGAGTAAGAAAAAGACTACTGCTTCATCCACAACGCAGAAAAGGGCATCCATAACTAGGTCTACATTGAAATCAACACGACCTAGCAAGTCAACTCATCAGGGTTGCTTAATGAGGAGATTATCCTACCGCTAGGGGCAGACGTGTTTGATGAACCACCGTTACTTCTGCCTGAAGTACCTATTAGATCGGCGACACAGTCGAGCTCCACGACTACTAGATCGTCTCCTGCAACTACAACAGCGGCCAGCTGTTTGACGACCAACTTCTCAACGCAGTGAAGTTGAAGCACACAACACATCAGCATTCGTGAACGCTTCATCAACACCGAATCAGTTCCAGTCAACACAGAACTTCAATCCAGGCGACTTTATGAGGCAATTTACTACTCAAATGATGGCCATGATGGAACGAAGCGAAGGCACGACAGGAACGCTCATCAACTGACAATGTTCGCAAACCCTCAGACCTACGCGAACCCAATATGCCTCACAGATCTACATCTGCAGACAACGTTGGCGAACGTGAACGTTCGAGAAGGTCATCACAATCGGACGACTCTGTCATCATAGAACAGGATGGAAGGTCCGCCGAAGGCTACTAACTCTACGACAACCTTGTCTGTGAACCCTCAACTTTCGAGAACGCCTAGGAATCCATCCCCAAGAGCCAGCCGTTCCAGATCTACATCCCACAGCTCTCACAAGCGAAGAGAAGGTTCGCGAAAAGGAAGTTCGCGAGAAACTAGTTCGCAGACGTTCGAGACAGACGTTCGCGAAAGGATGACTCACAACATTCGCGAAAGGAATGTTCGCACACTGAGGATTCGCGAAAAACATAGTTCTACGGAACAAGAACTATCTGATGAACATACTGACTTACGTCTTCTCAGATACGGAAGTTACAGCTTGAATAGCTAATGGATTGAACTTAGAGTCTCCCTCCAAGGAATTGGATGAAATTTACACATATAAGATGTGCAAGGACGACTTCGACTCAGTCACCATTCCTCCTATTGAGCCTATATCCAAGGTGCCTTCGAATCTACACACATCTTTTGACAAAGCTACTAGATTCCAGAATCAACATCTGCCAGCATTTAATGCGAAGAAATTCCCCTTACATCACATGGACCCCTTCATGAGAGCGCCGGACTTAGATGAAAATATAAAACTGGTTAACGACTCTTGGAACAAGGTCTACAAGGTGGAGGATAATAAGTTGGCTCAACTTGATACTTCGACGAGGAGATCCTTCTTCGGATAAGCGAGGTCCAGAGCAATTGATTAACAAGTTCCAGAACCCCAGTTCGGAAGAAGATAGACTGCTATTATCTTCTCTGCTCACTCAGAAAAAGGACCAATACTTCATATCGGATCATCTGGCCTCAACGTCGTCGGGTCTCACCTTATTACGGAGACAGGGTCTACTGGCATCGTGTTCCTGGAGTGACAGATTTACCCAACCGCTACTTAGAGCTCCTTGGGCAGCGCCTACCATCTTCGGAGGTGAGATAGATGAAGCAGCTAAGGAAGCTACTCACGACTCACAAGGGAAGTCATGATGATCAAGTCTATAGAAAATCTAGCCAACGTCATTCGTCATACTTCACAGAAGTACAACAGCAAGTCGAAATATTCCAGTATCCAGAAGGCTAAGGAGAAGAAGTACTCCAACTTCAGAGGTGGGAAAAGTCCTTTTTCGTTGCCCATCCGGAAACTACAGAGGAAACTCAGGGAGAGGACGTACTCCCAGAGGTTTCAGAGGGGCAAGACGCTGAAAGTGGGGTTCGGAATGACTGGATGCTTCCACCCCCAGCCGTTCCTGTACAACCATCGACAGTGGGTGGACGTCTACAAAGGTACTGGCAAAATTGGGGAATACTAGAGGACGACTACGTCTCACAAGTACTGCGAGAAGGGTACAGAGTGCAGCTCAAGACCACACCACCGTTAACCCTCAGACCAATGGTCTTCAACTATGCAGACGAGCAAGCAGACAAGCAACAAGAAGCCATCACCTCGCTTCTAACCAAGAATGCGGTGGAAAGAATAGATCAACATCATCTCACGCCAGGCTTCTACTCCCCAATTTTCCTAGTACCCAAGAAGAATTCCAAAGTGAAATTCAGATTGATTTACAACATGCGGAAATTCAACCAAGACTATCTACTCAAACCGGAAAGGTTCAGAAGGATCCACCTACCTCAACTCAGACTACTAATTCGTCCAGCAGACTTTATGGCCAGCATAGACCTCCAGGATGCATATCTACACATCCTCATACATCCGGAATCAAGGAAATATCTAGGATTCTTATTCAGAGGTCAGCACTTCCGATGGAATGTCCTACCCTTTGGAATATCGTCGGCTCAGTGGTTATTCACATGAATAACCAAGCCCATAATCGCCTACCTTCATCATCGAGGTCTACTCAATACCTTGTATCTAGACGACGGCATACAGGTTCATCAAAGTGCCAATCAACTCAGACAGCAGCTGAACTTCACAATCAAGTTGCTCACACAACTAGGATGGTTAGTGAACCTGATGAAGTCGGAGTTCGAACCAAAACAAGATCTGCAATTACTGGGGATAAGATTCATCACAACACAGAATCGAATTGTGACCCCAGAAGATCGTTGGGTCAAGATACAAGCCATGATTCCTGAAGCAGTCATCTCTCCGTTAACACTACGAACATGGCAATGTCTACTTGATCTACTAAACTCAGCACAAGACTTGACTCGAACAGGAAGGTTACAACTAAGGCCATTGCAACGATTCCTGGCAAAACATCTGGACAGCAGTGACCCTATCTCTATTCAGCGACCCTTACGCGTTTCCACCTCCGATCTTACTACCGAAAGTACTGTTGAAGATCAAACAGACACAAGCGCTACAACTGACTTTGGTCGCGCCCTATTGGCCAGCGAGAGTCTGGTTCCTAGACCTAATAGAAGATCTCGGAAGTCCAACCCTCAAACTACCAGAATGGCCGAACCTACTCAGACATCCGCACATCAAGCAAGTCCACAGGAACCCAACACTGTTCCAGCCACACATGTGGACCGTATCAAGACCTGTCTGAAGAAAAGAGGATTCTCCACCAGAGCAGCAGATCTACCTGCAATTTGTAACCCTAGCATTACGCAGATCTACTCTCATCCTCAAGTGGCAGAATATCTATGTAAACCTTAGATATACAAGACATCTGAAAGGTTCGACATATCTGGCAGCCATCAGTACAGTCATCACTATGAAGTCAGGCATCAAATTTTCGAAAGTACCAGAATTACTTGCTCTGCTGCGATCTTTTAAACTGGAGGACCAGCAAAAGAAATTAAGAGCACCAGCCTGGGATCTGAATGTAATTCTACGTCATCTCATGAGCGATGCCTACGAACCTCTAGAGACTTCCTTCGAGCTACTCACACCGAGAACAGACGGAGACGGCACAGCACAGGTTAATGAATAAATAACTTTGTCTGCTGTGAACGTGCTTCTCGAACACCTGGCTGTCCCTTTCTCAGGACTCCTCCCTCGTAACAAACAGTGAACTGTGTCAATATTTTAATGATAGTTTGTTAAACAACTTTATTATTTTTAGGACAAAAATTCTGCAAAAACCTCACAGAGTGGGTATGATGTTTTGATTATGATCAGGGTTTCATTGAGTATGTTATGTTTATTAGTTTTTGAGTTAGATTGCAATTCATCGGTCCACTTTTGAGCCAAATGGACTATAGGAAATGCCGTTATGCAGCTCCCATGGGGGGGATACAGGACGTATCTCTGGACAACTGTTGAATCCACAAAGTGGCTTGACCCACCACCAATCCATAGGATTCTATAAGCAAAAGATCATGAGTCAGGATAAGTAATAATATGTAATGTTTTAATTGAAATTGATATTTTATACTTATCCTGACTCATGAGGAGAAGTCCTCCCAACCTCCCTGCTGGAAGCACTTCGGATTTCAACAGTAGATCCAGGTGCATGGGCGGAAAAATCAGGAGAGAGTGACAAGTAGGGCTGGTCACATAACTGTTTGCACGGGAAAAGGGAGGTAACTCGTGGGCGAGTGTATTTTTACATGCGCTTCGGGAACTACAAGGGATTCAAGTGTTCCACTACCATTCGCAAGGGAAAGGGATATAAGCAAAAGATCATGAGTCAGGATAAGTATAAAATATCAATTTTACTTAAAAAATTACATTCTTCTCTGTGACCAAAAGATAAAAACTAGTAATTATGTTACATTTCATTCTTCTGGGGCGGGGGACATTGCCATGTTAGTGACAAACACATGCTGTCCATTGTTGTTTAGTCTTCTGAGGTGTACAAAATATTTCCTGCAAGACTTGTGTACTTTCAGCTCAAGCCAGCAGTGCACTGCTCACACTGCAGGAGGGTACACCTGCACCAAAGAAAGCCAGTCCTGTCAAACAGCAGACACAGCAGACTGTGAAGACCATTGTCACGACTCCAAAGAAACCTGGTAGGTAGTTCTATAAATGTTGCATTATTTACAGTTAGTAGCAGTTGGACATTATTGGGAATGTCCAGGATGTTGAGGGTGTGGATTTCCCAATAATATTCTTGGACAGACTTAAGATAACCACCTCCAATTTTGTTTTTAAGACAGTGTTAACTGGCTGATCTGCTCTGACACTCAGTCTGACCTAGCTATTTCTATAATAAACGTCACTCATTGAATACACGGTTTGCAAAGACATTTTTGTAAATGCAACATAAGGAGGGCTCCAACCTATGCACCTAATTACATGCATCAATATCACATTCATGTTTATTGGAGCCAGTCTCATTTGCGTGCTAAAACATTGTCACAGACATTGCCAGGGAGCATTCACTGAGTTGTGTTGCTGTTCCAGTCCAGACCCCGTTCCTGGATGAGACTCAGACCATCATCACCTGGCACCAGTGGCTGGCTAGCGTCACCGAGAGGATCAACCAGACCATGCACTACCAGTTTGATGGTAATGTTACTTGAACCGCTGTAGGAAACCCACTCCCCACTCATGACCCACTCATCAAAGACACCAGGATTCTCATTATGCAAACCTTAGATTGGGATGAGAATCCCAGATTTCCACTGATAATGTTACTTAGGTTGTCAGCTCCATTCCGTTGTTCAAAGGGACTGGGGTAGCCTAGTGGTTAAAGCGTTTGCTTGTCATGCTGGAGGCCCGGGTTCGATTCCCCACATGGGTACAATGTGTGAAGCCCATTTCTGGTGTGCCCTGCCGTGATATTGCTGGAATATTGCTAAAAGCGGCAAAAACTCTCTAACACTCTGTTGTCATTGAAGTAGTAAACATCCAGGATGCATGACTACCTGCTTTCCTTGTCATTGAAGTAGTAAACATCCAGGATGCATGACTACCTGCTTTCCTTGTCATTGAAGTAGTAAACATCCAGGATGCATGACTACCTGCTTTCCTTGTCATTGAAGTAGTAAACATCCAGGATGCATGACTACCTGTTTTCCTTGTCATTGAAGTAGTAAACATCCAGGATGCATGACTACTGCTGGAAGTAGTAAACATCCAGGATGCATGACTACCTGCTTTCCTTGTCATTGAAGTAGTAACATCCAGGATGCATGACTACCTGCTTTCCTTGTCATTGAAGTAGTAAACATCCAGGATGCATGACTACCTGCTTTCCTTGTCATTGAAGTAGTAAACATCCAGGATGCATGACTACCTGCTTTCCTTGTCATTGAAGTAGTAAACATCCAGGATGCATGACTACCTGCTTTCCTCCCACACTAAGCTGACATTCTGTGATATAACGAGATTGTTGCACTAGCAAGTGTGTCTTGCTGATTTCACAAAATGATCCTGTTAATCGTGAGACAGCAAACACTGCACTGATCGTGATCTCATCAACAATTTTCTGATGTCACAGTAAGATATGACTGACATCAACATTGTTGTTCAAATGATGTAAACAATACACTGATGTGCATGAAGTGATATCCGACCTGATCCACATAGGTTATTTATTGCTTCAGTTACTTTAACCCTGTGTATAATAGAAATGAATTCCTGTCCAAAACAGCATTGCTACCAGACATTTACTCCACCAAGTATTTTACTATTGATGAACTATGTCTTCAGGTAACCCAGAGCCCCTTGTGTTCCATGCACCGCAAGTGTTCTTTGACTGTCTCCAACAAAGAATCTCAGCTGGAAGTCGCAAGAAACGCTTGCCCAACTACACTACTGGCTTTGTGAGGAAGGATGCCCTCCCACTGGGCACCTTCACCAAATACACATGGCATATCACTAACATACTCCACGTCAAGCAGATATTTGACACACCAGAAGTAAGTCATAGACATTCTTGCTTCTTACTCGTCAGATATAACTTTCTTTCAGACATAAGGTATTTGTTTCTTCACTACAATATAGGGATTATGACCTGTTTATCTCTGGTGGTTTAGCTTACTGTACATCACATCAACAGAGTTGTCTCCCTTTGTCAAACCAGGCCATACTGTCATGGTTTTGAATTCATACCTGTTCTTTAGAAATTCATGTAAAAATGGTCAACAACTGTGACCAACACCCCTGGGTTCTTTTGATACTACATTCAGGTGATACTCAAAGATCATGATAATATCTCTTACAACTTGTAATGTGTACTGCTCAAAGCATTTACCAGGATGTTTGTCTTTGTTTTTCTGTAGGAAAACATAGTATAGAATGACGCTCTTGTCTTGTTAAATTGTTTTTGAGTCCTTAACCATTTGACTACGTTTTACAGATGCCTCTGGAGATTACAAGGAACTTTGTGGAGAACAGGGATGGGACATTTGATCTGTATGAGATACCTAAAGTACAGGTGGAAAATATTGATGATTCTTTCAAGGGAAAAACACAGACTCCTATCAGACCATTTGAACTGAAGACCTTTCTCAAAGTTGGTAAGTCATCACATCAGCTGAATATCAAGTGTGCTTGTTCTGTGACTGCTATGGCAGGGTTATTGGTATGTAAGGTGGTCAACTGGGCCAGGGACATTGGAAAGGATGTTGGGTTTCACGTTTCAAATATGTCCCTACAGCCAATGATGAAGGTTAAAGGTTGTAGGTAGGCTGGTAGGACTCAGTGACTTGTTTGATTGCATTTACTTTATCTAGATGGCATATGATGGTGCTTATGATATCAATCATTGGTTTTCTGGTTCAGACTTGATTATTTAGAGGGAAATGTCCTCTTGGTATCATATTGCTGAGTAAGTCATTAAACAGGAAGCAACATAAATAGAGGTGCAATGGGAAAGTCATAGATAAAACTGCAATAATGTCTATAATCAGGTCTTAACATAAAATCCAGTGATTGACATCATGAGCATCAATCTATGACATACATCAACCCAATCAGCAAGCCTGACCATTAGTTACTTTTATAACAAGCAAAGGTTGTTGAAGACCACTTCTAACCTGGATCTTCTGTGGAAGCTTCATGAAAACATGCTTAGTGAGTGCCATGGCACATAGTAACTTGGCCAGTTAGATCCTGGAATATTATTGTACTGATGTTATAATGGATGTCTACATAATGGATGTCTACATGTAGAAACAAAATCTATTTCTTGTGCAACACAACAGAAAGCAAATTGACAAATTGACAAAGGTAGTGAGTCGTGGTTGCATTAAATACTTATATATATTGATTTCTGCTTTGGTTACAGGTAATATCAGTGGAGAAAGCAAAGATCCCACACCCTTCATAATCGAATGGATACCCGACATTTTACCACGGTCTCGGATAGGCGAGCTGAGGATCAAATTTGAATACGGTCATCAACGAAATGGACAAATTGAGCACAGAATCTCAGCTCCTAGTTCTGATATCCCTATACAGACAATACAGTTTCAGGAGGTGTGTCAAACGTAACACATGAGTCTCTAGTTGAACCATTATTGGGGAGAACGCTCTCATCAAGCCAGTGGTGGGACACTATCACTTTGAGTTGCCTCCCTTCGTCCAAGGCTAAGGTTGCAAGAAGGGAGACAACCTGCAACAGTGTCCACATCTGAACAAATGGCATATCTATCTTGAAGATAAATAACCAAACAGTATTGCTGGCTCTTGGCATGTTTGTGTGTTCAATTTTGTGAATGTCTGCGAATGAATCCTGCTTGTAATTGTGGTAACTTAGTGTTGCCATGGATACTGTAGCTTCATGCTGTCTCATCAAAGGCTGCGCAAGTGTGTTGCCATTTATGGAAAAAACATGCCTCATACAGAACTGGTACCTGAAAAGGGATGAAGAATAACTGAGATTATCTGTATATAGAGTGAGTTGCCATGGTATCAGTAACTGCTACAAACTGAAATGTATAAGTTGGCAGTAAAGGCCCAGTTCACAAGCTCTGGTGGATACAAATCTTAATTCCTCAGGTTTGGAGATCAGGGTGGCTAATGGGGGAGATGGCGCAACACACCCTTTTTCTCCTGTTTTTGATAGTAATTAAACCAAGCAAACAGTTCGATCCTATTGTAATGTATATGCTGTTATGAGTTTTTCGACAAGGTATATTCTATTTGTAATGGTACAAATAATATTCCGAATCTAGTTGATAAATGTTCTGAAAAGGCAGGGCAAAACAAGAGAATAAATATCGTTTTCAGAATGAATTTTTGGGTGGGGTGTACCTCATAATTTAAGTAATCAAGTTTCCTGTGAACAAATCAGCATTAAGGTGTCCAAAGTGTTTGTAGAGGTAAGTGAAATGTTGAGAGCAAATTATCAGATTTCTATCCTTCTCTGCCCATCAATCACCCTATAATTTTTCCTTTGTGTTCTGCCCATCAGTCTCCATGTAGTGTCTGCCCATAATGCCTAACAGTCTCCCTGTTAAGCTGGCCTGTTCTGCCCATCAATCTCCCTGTAACATCAGCCTGTACTCTCTCCATCAGTCTCTCTGTAACATCAGCCTGTACTCTCTCCATCAGTCTCTCTGTAACATCAGCCTGTACTCTCTCCATCAGTCTCTGTAACATCAGCCTGTACTCTCTCCATCAGTCTCTCTGTAACATCAGACTGTTCTGTCAATGAGTCTCTCGGTATACCTATCAGTCATGCAGCAGTAATCCCCTGCAGTCAATATTGCTAATGTGTTGTACATTAACACAAAACTGTTCATGTTATATTGTATGTTTAGCCCATGGTTTTGTAAGTTATTTTTGTGTTACTTAACTTATTTGTATCTTTCCCAAATGACTGGAGGAGATGCTTGTCACTGCTACATCAACTTGTACAGATTCTCCTGTGCTTGACTAACTCAACAAGCCTTGCAGAACATGCTTTGTCAACCTTTACAAGACAGGATTATAAAGACTGGCTAGTCTGACTTATTCTTGTTCATCAAAAAGAACTGTCACTATCTGCTATAAGGTTTTATTCAAGAAAAGTACTTGAATTTCAGGAAGTTATATGAAAATGGCCGCAATGTGTAAACTTATATGAGCTTGCCTGAAGAAATAGTATAAAGGTAGCGATAAAAGTGGACCCACAGAACACCAGGTCTCTATGGAATTGTTCGAAGGAGAATCTGATAAAAATGGCTTTTTTAAAAAATTGTACAACACTGCCCTGAATATTAAACTGCAACTTTTGGTAAATTCACTGTTGTAGCTTCTTGTTAATTGTTGGCTGAAGTATCTTAAGGAATATTTATACATAAATGAATAGCTAGATAATTCTCAAGGAAATAGGAGTATCTTCTCTGGGTTAAAACAGTACCATGACAGCTCCATGTAGAGAAGGCGTCCACTGTTGGAATGTTGAGGACAGTCAGTGTGATCGTGGAGAGGGGTACTGCTGTATACATAACCTCTGTCATGTGGAGCTCAGTACTGTACACTTAACCCCTGTATGTCACATGACATAAGGCTGGCGGTGGGGTAGCCTAGTGGTTAAAGCATTCGCTCGTCACGCCAAAGACCCGGGTTCGATTCCCCACATGGGTACAATGTGTGAAGCCAATTTCCGGTGTCCCCACTGTGATATTGCTGCAATATTGCAAAAAGCAGTGTAAAACTAAAAACTCACTCACTCTCATAAGGCTGAGTATAGAGTACAGAACCTCTATCTGATTTGGAGCTGGGTGCTACCGTCTTCAGAACCTGTCACATGGAGCTCAGTACTGTACACATAACATCTTTGTCACTTGGACCTGAGTACTGTATACAGAGCTGCTGCATAGAACCTTTCTATGCCATGTACACCTGGGTACTGCTGTCTACATATCCTTTCCTGAGCAATAGCTGTCTGAATATACACAGTAATAAAGTTGTGGCAGTGATTGCCTCTGGATGTTAACCATTACAAACAGCGTGTTGCTTGTTTCTTCAAGGATCTCTGTCAAGGGTACATATACAAATGAAAAGTGAGGGAAATACTTTCAGGGAAGCAGAAGCATGAATATTTTTGTAAGTTGGTAACCAATGATTGGTAGTTTGTGGACTGCTAACAATCTACTTTTATCTGTTGTGTTTTCCTGGAGAGTAAACACAATTTGTGCAGGTCAGGTCAGCGATATGACATACTGAAATCCTGGCACTTGACCATCTTTGCCTTCATTTATTCATGAATCACATAGGTGATAAATCTACTGGTATTTTTTCGCTTTAATATCATGATTCCAAAAACTAATGGAACACATAATTAAGGTCTCAAGTCAACGATGAATTCAACACATTAAGCTTTTCTCTCATGAAGCGAGTTAGAAAAGCACAGCTGGCCCTATGCATCAAACTTCACTGTAACCCGGGGCAGTGGGGTAATCTAGTGCTTAAAAGCAGCGTAAAATTGAATCCTCAACTTGACACTACATGGCCGTCATGCATAATAAACATGATAAAGATCTTTGACTATTGACACCTGTGCATCACATTCACAACTCTTACTGTGGCATGAGAGGTAAGGTTTGTTTCTATGAAGAGCAAAATCTGAAGAAAGAATGCACTGATAAATATATCTTCAAAAGTGGGCGTTTCAACCCAAGGATTCCATTTCATACTCAACACTAGGCCATGGTCACCTATTGTGAAATTAACACTACTTGGAAGCTGATATTTAGGACAATATAGTTGTAGTTTCAGCACAGAGCGTCCATGACATTGTATGCCTTTTTATTTTGGAAAATAGTAACGTGTGTGGCAGAATAGCCTTGCACCAACCAGGAAGAATCAACCTTATAATGAACTTATCTGCCCTTGTATTGCTCACAAACTGGAAAGAGGTTATAAATAATCTTGATGATGATGATCAGTCCTGGATGATGTTGATGATCAGTACTGGATGATGATGATAATCAGTACTGGATGATGATGATAAACAGTACTGATAAAGGTCTTCATGGTTTTGTGATCAAATTAAGTTTTTTGAATAATAATAATTGGCCACCTATATAGCGCTGAACTCCACGATGCAGGGGGTACCATGCAGGGACATGCTCTAAGCGCATAGAAAATGGACATTATTACCCTGATAACCCAAGTTAATAGTCATATGACATACCACCGGGTACCCTTTTCTGCTGGGTGAACAGAGGCAATTTTGAACAAACTTACTAAGGTTTGACCACATAGGTGCTTCATGGTGGGTCAGGACAGATGTCCCAGGAGTCGAGTTGCCAGACATGGTCACCCATCCAAGGACTCTCCGTGACCAACATTCACTTAACTTCACCTGATTTGTGACCTGCACTCTATGACCACACAAATGTTTAGGAATCCTCACCTTAATAGGTGTGTATGTGCCAGTTTCAAATTTTACTGTTGCCTGATAATGATCGTAGTCCAATGTGGCTGGAAGAATATGGTTGTAATATTTTGAACCAGTTATTAATACACTTATTTTGCTACAAACTGAAAACAGCAATCTCTGTGTGCAATACAATATCTGTATAAATGCAAAGCACATTTCACTCTGTTAAGTTGAATTCATAAGTCATACATATGAACAAACTGACTGTGGGTACATCAAACCCAACCTCCAAGGGAGCGGAGGACAACAAATGTTTAAATTACTTACCATTGTGTCAACAAGCGAAGCACACTTTGGCCCCATTCAGAAAATCTACCACACTTCAGCAATAACAGCGAGGACAGCCTGGTGTAGTGGTTAAAGCATCCATCCGGAGAGCGGAAGGTGGCGGGTTCGATTCCGGCTGCATCATACCAAGACATTAAAATATGCCACTCGGCATTAATGGGTACAAGGACTTGTCAGCTTAGAGTCAGTATAATGTAGCTAGCACTGTGAAACCAGCATTAGTCTTGGCTTGTACAAGCAGCCACACATACATACGCATGCACGTCGTCATATGAGTGAATTATTCTTAAGTACGACGTTCAACCCCATTTCACCTCACCACCAAGAACAGCAAGAACAGAAAAGAGTTGTTCAACCTTTTTCTCATGTAGAAATGAATTTCAGATACAAAGTTGCAGCTGGTGTGTAATGCCCCACTTTCAGCAATTTGAGCAAGGAAACAAAAAATGTACCCCACATTACAGTTGCACATTGAACATTTTAGAATGTGTCCAAGCCAATCAGAATCTAACATTCATGCTTCAGGTAAATTGTAACCAGCTTTGCGTGAAATGTTGTAGATTTGCTTCTGCACACCAAGATGAATAGAACCAAGGTTTTTCCGGAAGCGAGCTGCCCCGTTTATTTACTGGTGTTTGGGACCCGTGAAGATCCGGCTTAATTGGTCTTCAGTAACCCATGCTTGTACTAATGAGATCAGGTGGTCAGGCTTGCTGACTTGGTTGACATAAGTCATCATATCCCAATTGTCTACATCGATGCTCATGCTGTTGATCACTGGATTGTCTGGTCCAGACTCAATTATTTACAGACCGCCACCATATAGCTGGAATATTGCTGAGTGTGGCATTAAACTAAACTCATTCTCTACTGGTATCTTTGGCACAGCTGTCCACATACTGAGCCACAGCAAGAACACAATTCAGAGTTTACTTTCAAGCTTTTATTGAAAGCTGCGTCCATTTCTATAAACATAATAAATACAACAGATGGTTTTCTATACAATATACATATATACAATTTCTTTACAAATTAGCACCGTATACTCTCGTGTATACTCTCCAACATAAAATGTAAACAATGATGGCAATTCTCAAGGCACACGAGTTACCTCCCCTGTGTTATTAAGAGAATTCCTTTTGATCATAAATAAAATGCCATAAAAATTAAACATTTTAATATATTGGAAATTAAAATGCATGATACTTACAGGAACGTAAAATTATTTGCCATTTAACAAAGTTAAAAGTTCTAAACTACAAACCCTGTAGGATACTGATCCTGTGACTCAACAATAAGTCATATGCTAGCAAAAACTAGTCTAAATGTTTAAAACATTTCCAGCCTTTTGTAAAAGGTATAATACTTAGTACTTAGAAACACAAAAGTTAACAAATCATTTTGCCAAGTACAACTTCACAACATAAATGAGACATAAAATTAGCAGTTCACAACCATCCATTATTACAAACACTAACGAACATTTGAAATTACACAAAAGTCACTGTTTCCTCTACATATTTAAGGTCCACAACTTGACTATGTTGGGTGTTTCCGAGATGTTTGGGTGTGGCCCCAGGTTTTCCTTCCAATGACACAGCAAGTCTCTCTGGTTGTGAACACAAGTTCTCACTGTCCCGCAGTGAGGCTAGATCCTTCACCTGACCACTATGCTTGAGGGCTCGATGATAGCTGGAACTCTCTGAATGTTTTGTATGAGAACTGTTTAAGTCTTTATTAATTTCTGACAGTGGTGGGGGTGGGGTGTAATTAGGTGGTTTCCGAGGGATTTCTCTCGGGGTAAGTAGTGGGGGTGGGGGTGGTCTAGGCGAGGGGTGGAGATTCAGTGACACACTCTTTTTGTTTTGATCCATAAATGTTTGGTCAATGGCTTCACACACTTCCTGTTCATTGAATCTGTCATGAAGTTTAGTTCTAGGTGAGAATCTTTCTGGAGACGCCATTGGGGCGTGAGATGTTAGGTGTTGCACACCAAGACGATAAGGTGTTTCAGTCCACTCATGCTCTTGTTGGACGTTCGCCTGGTAAAAGTTCTCAATGTTTTCCATGTCGAATTCATTGGCATCTAAAACTACTGGTTGCATTTGGAAGTAGTCATCTGCCAGTTCTTGTGATGGCAACTGACCATCCAAACTAAAGCTTTGATTGGAAGAGCCAAACCCTGGTGTTCCAAATGTGGTAAATTTGTTGACCTTCCTGGAACTGGGATTTGGACCTTGACCTTGAGGTGTCTGGGCTCCTCTGGACAGACGGCCATGACCCTGCAAGTACTCCACCTCATCGAAGAGATCAGTGGAAGACACCCCGCGTGCTGTTGGGCTGTCAGTTGACACCGGAGGCTCCATCTTCAGGAACTCGGGAATCTCAGCAGAGTCTGTGCCTACTCCTCTTTGGTCATCCAGCCTCTGGCTCTGAGCTCTGGAGAGAAGCTCGAAGAGTTTCTCATCTGATGAAGAAAAATAGTATTTCTATCAAAATGTGATAAATAACAGACATATCATGAAGGCACAGTTATATAGCTTTACATCACAATAATGACGTTTACATAGGACTGATGATGATGATGATGATGATGATGATGATGATAATGATGACGATGACGATGACGATGGTGGTTTAAAACATCAAATACAGATACTTCATTGGATAACTGGATACTCACTCTCTGGATCAGATCTTGGGCGGGTTTCATTCTTTGGGAGAGCAAAGGTCACCTTGCTCTTTGCTGTTGTAGACTTCGGCTGCTTGCTGTCTTTTGCTTTGCCCACCGACTCTCTTCTCAGCAGGCCGAATAAGCCTGATAAGCGATGCTCGTCTGGATTTTTGGGAGCCTAAAGAAACCAAACCAAACAATTGAAATATTTTTTTCTATGCTGTGAGCTAACAATAACAAAGGGAAAAACAGCTTCAAACAAACCAAACAAAACCACAAACATTAAAAATCATGCCAAAGACAACATTTATTGAAAATCTTTTATCCTCTCTTCAAGCTTTATTTGTCTGCGATCCTTGAAAAAATATTTTTCATGCGACAGCGACAGATCACAACACACCAGACATCCAGCTAAAGCACGCCACACGTGAGGTGGAAGCACCACCGATCACACAAGAGGGGAGGTAACTCCACCTCTCACACAAGGGGAGGTAACTCCACCCCTTACCTTAGTCTTCTCCAGTTCCACAATACCAAGTTCATCAAAATTATGAGCTGATTCCGCTTTCCCTTTCATCAAGTCCTCAAATATACGATTAGTTATTTCGTCTAGCGATCCTGCCTTAACGTTACCCAGGCTACCAGATTTGTGCCGGCTAGCTGTGGGCGGGAGTGGGGGTCTGTGAAAGGTGGACGACATGCCAGGTCGCTCCTCGCCAACCCAGTCTGTTAGACAAATAACGAAACATGCAAGGTTGTTAATGCATTTCAACGATCCATGCACCGTGCAGGGTGCCACCGATGTGTGCAGGTATAGATCTGGGGAGTGATACATATGGAGTGAGGCAGAGAGAGGCACGAGGAGGTTAAAATCAGTAATTCAGAGGCACCAGTGTCAGTGAAGCGAGAGAGGAGAGTTGGGATTAGTTGTCAAGGAAGTATCAGTAAGCAAACAAGCATTAGGGTTAGAGTACAATAGTGTACAAGTCAGTCATGCAATAATGAGAATATGTAGTTAATGCAATGTTAGTAGATCATGCAATATTAGTAGATCATACAATATTAGTATATAAAGTTATGTTAGTAGATAAATGGCATGTTAGTAGATCCAGGTAATATAAGGCAGTATCTTTATTTCATGTTAGGATCATTAGCATGTATTATGAATGAAATGTTTTGTTACTACAATTATTTTGTAGAATGGAGGGACGATGATGAAAGCGGACATGCGGCTTTTTGAACCAAACTGAATAACACACACACTGCAAACCAGGACAAGCATCAAAGATTTACACTGATTCTCAACCACAGCAAAATAGGCCAGACTTAGCAAGACAGCAACCAAACACACCGAAACAAAGGAAAAAAGAAAAACTACTCCATGGAAATAAATAACAAATGAACTAAATGAAGAAACCACTGATGATGACCTTGACCTACCTCGTCTACAATGACACGAACATGTGCATGGCAGAGATCCTGGCATAGCAGCAAGTTAAAGATGCTTTAGTAATAGTTGAATTACTACATGGTTACATTCGAGAAACATCGGCAAGCTAATTAAGCCATGAATACATCAGAGAGCTACTGATGGTGCAGATCTTGACATAGAACATATTTAAAGTCCAACTTGCTTTAAATTAAACATAATTTCAACACTGTTTAAAACTGTGTCTATTGACAAAGTCAAATGTTTAGGAAAGCATTGTTTAAGCACACACCTAAAGCCTCCTTGTTTAGGATGACGACTCGCTGGTTGTCTAATTGTGACACCAACATATCGATATCCAACAGCTCCTCGTGCCCTGACTGAAACAAAACACAAGCACTGTTAGTCACCAATGATTGATTTCTTGTTCGTATCATTTCCTTACATCATCTGATTTTATATAAATAATTAAATAATACAAACATAATTTTTTTTAATAGTTTCTAATATTGATTTTAAAGTATATATAAAGCTGTAGATCTTTTAACAAGTGAACAAGGTATAAGTGTTGAAAAACTTCTTACCAGTTGCACAGCTATATTCTCAATTCTGTAACCGTATTTGTTGAGGATGGGCTTAAACACATCTCGGATGGTTCTGTTAGGCTTGGCCTTGACCCCAATGGATTTCTTGTTGGGGAAGTCCATGCGGAACAGAACCCTTCGCTCTATCACAACCTCCTTAGACCCAAGGGTGGACACGTCCTCGCTAAGGTCAAGTGGCTGCAAGAAAAGGAACAAACTGAATTAATTCTGTATCAATGAATGAGTTTGTATTTTATAAAAAATTCAACACTAATCCAATTACAGTGCTTATGTTTAAATATGTAATGGAAGAGAATGACAAAATGGCCAGTTATGGATGATATTTGATAGTTGACATACCTTGTCTGAGCCAAGGAGAAACACATCGACAGCAGCGATGGAGAGGCCTCGTTTCTCACACAGCTTCCCCAGCACCGATCGACTGGACTGGCCAGGCTTGGCACACACGACGGTGGTGGAACCATCAGGGAGGACAACACGGCAGAACTTGAACTGACCCTCGTTGGGATCCCTCATCTCCTGAAAACATCATGAAAAAATGTGTTACAATGTTATCAAACGCTTGCTTGTATATATCTCAATATCTCTCATTGAATATTTAGCTTTGGACCATTTAACCATCCCTGTGTTTGTGATTGAGTGAGTGTGATTTTATGCCGCTTTTAGCAATATTCCAGCAATATCACGGTAGGGGACACCAGAAATGGGCTTCACACATTGTACCCATGTGGGGAATCGAACCTGGATTTTCAGTGTGAGGAGCGAATGCTTTAACCACTAGGCTACCCCACCGCCCCCGCTGTGTTTGTGACACTCCTTCAGATTTGCATGAGGAATGCTGACACCCCTGCCCCTCCCGAGAACACCTGCGGACACCTACCTCCTTGGTCTGGAACACCTCCTTCCTCATGGTGCTCAGATCAATTCCGGGCCCAGGGCACTTCTTCAAGTTGTTGTTGACCTCCTTGTCCTTGACCTTGATATCCTTGGCTGCCACGCGCTTCAGCTCTGACTCAGACTGTGCCTTGTTGTTGCTGTGCTTGTTCTTATCTGTAAGAACCAGATGAAAATTAGTCACCGTGACAACAAAACACAGCTATTTTATCCGTTTTTCTATTCTTACAATATTACATTTGCATTATTCTTTTCTGAAACTTTTGACTGAAACTCCAACTTACTTTGTCTCCATGGCAACAAAGATCTCCTTCTCTTCTCATTTTCTTTGCCCTTTCCATTCTGAAATAAACAACAAAGAATTAAAGCACTCATCCAACAAAATATTTCAATCACTGTATTTTAATTAACGATTATTGAAGAGTTACAAAGTATCTGGATTCATCACTGGGCCTACCTTCTTTTCGTCCTTGGTGGCTCCAGCCATCATGTCTTGGGGCAGCTCCAGTGGTCTCCCTTCCATCTCTCTCATCAAGTATATCTTGTACATGTCGCTCTTCAGGAAACGAACATAGCTGTCCTGCTTCATCAGCTGCCAGATCTGCGGACACAACAACGACATTAGCACCAAGTCAATTATCACTGAATGCGCATAAGTGGCAATTCAAATGAAAAACGTCTTTTTCCTTTTTACTTCTGAACATGTTACATTTAGATTTGATGAGAATATAACTTGAGAAGAGCCTTACATGTTTCTGCGCCATGTCAAACATGGATGGAATGGGGTTGTCAAGATGTTTCTCTGCATTCTGACGAGACGTACTGTCCACATTGACAGGCTCAGAAGCCTTAGATGACAGGTGCTTGGAGAAGATTTCCTTCGCCTTGGCTTTTCTCTGTAGAAAGCAAATTTGAGAATGTGAAATCAAAGCATGTTCAGACTTATTACTGAATGTGTGGGTGTGGTAAGAGACGGCAGTAGTCACTGCATGCAAAAATGCAATAAAGAAAACATTCAGGAGCAACTTAAAACCATAAAGATAAAGAGATATCACATAAATATATGTTCTGGGGGGATCTGGTTTGTTTGGTTGTCACAACAAAAGGGGACATAAAAACGTGTAATGGCTAACATCATTCCTGAAATATCTTCTGTAAAGATTCAGTATCTTAACCATTTTCCTGATCCTATGTTTTTGACTCATCCCAGCAAGGCTTGTTGTGGCATGCTACCACACAGTAATTATCTGACAATAGGTTTGTAGTCACGGATGACTGCACCCTAAAGGAAGGGCTTGAATATCAGCTATAGATTATTATCTGACAGTCCTTAAAAACAATCATCAAATTGTTTGAAATAATATATTTTACCTTGGCTGACATTTACATAGGGGAACAAAGCAATGCCGTCACAAAATGAACATAAATTTTGCATGCCATAGACGAGAGCATGAGTTTAGTTCATACACTGAAGTGAAAGCAGATGAGTTGAATATTCAAGTTTTTCAAGACCCACACAGTCGGGACAAACTGTGCTGTATGTCGACACTCATTAATTCATGGTCAGGTAAAAGTAGTTGCTGGGTAAATTGCCTTTAGATATGCAGTTATTCCTAGTCATGTTGTTTACAGAGTTGTCAGGAAAGTAGGTTTACCTCATCGTCACTGCCGAGTTGTTTGTACTGCTCACACAGACGCCAGAAGACAATGTTTTCTTCACTGAACTCCTTTTTCAAGAATTCCTAAGAAAAAGCAAATGAAAATCAATAGATATATCCATCAAGGCACACAACATACAATATTAACTTGGATAATTAGAAATAGGAATTGTTGTTTCAAACAATGAGATGAAGAACTTACAGTGAAAACAACAACACCGCCGTTGTCACGAAGAAGTTTGTCAAAGTTGACGGCCCAGCCAGCAACTCTGCCAACTTCATCCTTATCGTCCTTCTTGGCCACTTGGGCAACAATGCTGTTGACGCTATTTGCCGGCAGCAACTTCTGGATCGACTGGTCTCCATCGCCTGCTATGAGCGACTGAAATTGAAAGAATTAATTTTATAATTGGGGTCACAAATTAAGAGGAGGGGAACATATTTCTTTCATCTTCATACCAGCATGTGTAGATCCAAAACCACACCTTACTAAGATTGTGTCCTTGTTTCTGTGTCAATACCAAACTCTTTGTATTGTGTTGCTCCTCGAGACGATTAACTAATATCAGCTACCAAATCAGATACACTGTATACCACATAATAGCTAATGAATAATGCTTCAATTTGTGTCCACTGTAGACCACCGTCAGATCACAATTTGATTGCTGGTGGTTTAAGAAGATGACCTCTTGCAGGGTGGTTTATGAGGCAATATGGCTGCCATACTTACTGAGTTGTGAAGGAATATAATTTGTGAAGCAGACGCCTGCACAACGCTTTGATCGTCCGCACCAAACAACTCCTGGCGCAGTAATCTCATACAAATCATAGTGCATCATCAATATTATCCATGAAGTTCCAGAACCACATCCAAATATTGCAGAAAACTCTCCAAGAATATTCCAATATATGGTAATCACACTGGTTGAGTCAAGAGAACCAAGTGCCACCAAGACAATGGTGCGCAGTTAAATTGTTACAAGTAGCAGTATGACTTGCCAATCTGAATGGGTATGTATATGTGGGGGCCAGGTAGGTCTCTCCACATGAGCAACTTCCAAAGCCCCCCTGATTAGATCAGCCAGATCCAACTGCAGTCTATTCATACATACATTGTAATATTCTTATAATAATCACAGCCAGTCAGGTAATGGGACCAGTGTTATATTCACAACCCTATGATGAATTCTTTTGTCAGCTGGGATTAACAAATTAAGGAGATTGTAGTAGGCTGGGAATGCAGTTTTGTGAGCCGGGTCTATATTTTATTTGTCGAAATAGTCTCCATGGGAGGCACAATGATGAAATAATACTTGAGGAATTACAGGACCAGGGTTGAGCAACACCTGTGTCTGATCCTGTTGTCACACTTCACTGAATCTCGGTGTATTCCATTAACAATGATAACTATCATGTTCAGTTGACTGGAAAGTGTTAGATATCACTTGCATGTTGAACTTGAACCAGATGACACGAATGTGTGCATTCAGGAAGCAGATTATATATGAACTAATATCTGTAAGTTTACATAGATATTATTTTCAAACAGTAAAAACTCTAAAATATAAATTAAAATCCATATACATAAACATTTTTTAACTTAAATGTCAGACTTCTACCAAAGTACCTGTTTAAACAGCAGCCATGTGTAGTGTTGTGTTATTGCAGCAGTTACAAAAGAAACCTTGGTTCTGATTAACAGCCACACCTTGATCCTGTGTCTCTAGCAGGTATTGTAATGACAACATGTGTTTGACCCGGGATAATTACCCTGTGACCACAGACTGACCATGACGGCCTCTGCTGGTACTCATTACAACAACACCGGGTCAAGGAGACTAATTAGCTCAATGTAATAACAACATTGTCATACTTCACAAGCACAACAGATCTTACATAACAGTAAATGTCTCAGGTTTCTTGTTCTCATCTACTGTTAGTATCAAACTGGAAATATTTAATTTCTTTCATCTGTACAGATGATGCAATGGATATCAAATGATACAAAACAGATGCTAAAGAAAATCCAAATACGAAAATATTGAAACTAATATAACTGAAAGATCAGATCAGAAAGAAGTAAAGGATTATGAAAACCTGTACTCTTTACTGTAAATATACTAAATGTATTTGTAATATTTCCAGACAGGTATAAATTTTCTTTGACGTGCCCTGAAGTGTAAAAATAGTACTGAAGAAAATAATAATATTTTCCTGCCACTATCTATTCACAGTTCAGCTAGTATGGAACTAGAGTCAGCAAACAAGGCTTCACACTAATACTACATACACCTGCAGGAGACACCATTACATACTACCTAATAGCTGAAACACCTCACCCTAAATTCACTGTTAAACTATTGACTTTCTGAACATGGTCCAATAAAAACAAAACCATATTCTTTTTATGAAGGGGTGAAATAGGCTGTAAAAACATGGGTCATAAAGTCTTGAAGTTCAAAGCCGTTGAAGTATGTTGTAAAGGCCCTTAAATCTGTGAGGGGGATTGGGAATTGTGATCCCCCTAATGACAGCCATGCCCCAGGGCCAGCCATCTTCCTTGTCTTACAGTATAATGCGCTTCAAAGGGGATACTAATGGCCTAACACCATTGTCAAGGGATTTAAACAATTTGTCAATAAAGTGTAGAATCTTCAAGGGGATTAGGTGCAATGCCCTGGGCCAAACAATACATGTTTCACTAGAGGTGTAAGACAATAACAGAAGTTGGCAGGAAAACAGTAGCAGGGCCCCTGCAATAACACTACCACTGTCAATGTCGGGGCAAATATACTGACTTGGAGGAAATATTTGGACACCAAATAGAAGAAAGAGGCCAAAAATTTGAAACATTTAAAATTTGTCTTGATGACAATAAAATATAAACTTGGCCCATTCTTTGACAGTTTCTTAATTAAATGCAATATAAGGGTTAATTTGGAAGAGATAAGTATGTTCTACCACACTCACTAACAGCAATGCCAGCAAAGGCAGATTAATCAGAGTAAACAAAAACGTAAACTTACATGATGCAGGTTAATGGTACAATCCAAGTAGCCATACTGTTTCGATTTAGATTTTTTGCTGATATGTCCAGATCGGCTTCTGTGGTGCTTACGCTTCTTAAACATATGATGTTCAAGACAGTCGCTGTACGACTGATTGGCACCATAGCTGTACGACAGGTTGAAGCTCAAGTCAAGAACCATTTTCAAATTGAAGTGTAAAATTCAAATATGAAAACTTGAACAGACTGTGTGGAATCTACACAAGTGATACACAGAGTGAAGTCCAGGAGTAACAATGATATCCAAGGGATGCTGACAGTTGAAGATACTGAGAGTGAATGCTGTGGCCTGGTCCAGCACATGTATATAGCCTGTCCAACTGACAGCCAGTGAACACTGCTTGACTGGGAGCAGCCAATTGATTGGCTGTGTACACCTTCATCCACACACAATTACTCTGCTGCCACCAATCTAACTTTGTCACCTGACTATTGCTCTAATTACATCTCACTGTTTACACAAGCCAGACTCTCCTAATCACCCACAAGCTCCCTTGGGATGCTGGCCTGGGTTGTCTCTGATTGGCTTACAGATTGCATACTGCCTGCTGATTGGCTGACATAGCTGATCAGATTAAATGCCTGTCAGTGACTATCTGGTGGTAAGGTGTAGGGATATAGAAAGTTGAATGAAATGTGTGATATTTATCTTACATCCCGGCAACTGTTATCCCTCCTTGAGGTAAACAATAAAGGTATATACCCCACAAGCTTGTTGTGTATAGCTATCATCTGTATTTGTCCTGTTACTTGCAGTTAGCTCTAGCTGATATCACACCTTCATACATGGAATAACACTTTGACAGCTTCAGGGTGATAAACATTAATATAATACTTTCCCCAAGTTTGCCAAGAAAGGTTTAAAACTTGCTCTAATACCAATTAAGATAATGACCAGCTTGTGACAGGCTAGCTAATGCCTGTGGTGTATTTCAATCCTATCCATCATTTCATTACAGAATAATGCCATATCTGTTACATAATAAAATAATATGGTGTGACATTTAGATACAAATGAATATTTGCTTCACCTAGAGAGATCCATGGCATCTCCAAGTCCTATATTTACTAACTTCACATAATACTAGCTTTCTGTAAGTTGTTATCTAATAATTTATCCTAAAAAGATTACCATATTTATCTTTAATACACCAATTGAGGAACTTCATTAAAGGAACATAATATTTTAAAATAAATATAAAATTGATTGAAATAACTGCCACAGCAATCAGGAAGGTGCTGGGACACTGATAGACTTGATGAGGTGTGACATGTGTACACACTGTCTGATCTGATCAGGGCTTCCCTGTCCCCCAAGCTGAGCTGTGCTTCTGTGTCAGTGTCTGACACTACTGCTGGCTGGGTTACACACTGTCCACACACTGTCACCAGTCTAACACTAGAGCAATATGTAACTTGCAGGAACATACTTGTCTTCCATTAATTGGGAAAACATAAATTGTATGTCTGGCTAGATGATAAATGTTCATAGTTCTCAATTACAGTCAAACACCAGACTTTTGGCTACAGAGACCCTTCTGCTCACCAGTTATACTCTGCATACATAACAATCTCTGACAAAATTGTGTCTACTAGTCTAAACCTTTTTTAGAGTTTAAAGACCAAAAAGAAACTTAACTCAGATTTCAGACTAGTAGTTGTCATGACATTTCACTAATTCTATCGACAACTATTACCTTTTTATGAAAATCAAATGGTCTGTCATAGCCTTATAGTAAACAACTTATGGATCTCCATTACTGTATACCTACTTTTGTAGTATATGAAAATGGGAAATTAGCTGAAACTGTCAAATACTCTATACAACTATTGATATATTATGTACATCCACTATATTATCATCCATGCAATATGTATCTAATGCTGTCTTTTCACCTGTTTGAAACTGTCAAATACTCCATACAAACATCGATATACTATGTACATCATTGCAAGTCAAGATAATAGGTACAACATTCTATGATTTGTAAAACACCGCTAAGTGTCATCTGCTGTACATTATCATACCTGTTGAAACTTTGTGCTTTATGTACATCATAACTTAAAATCTCACTAAAACATCATATACTACCATGCCCCCCCCAAATGATGTTATCCAGATTTATACACATTACTGTATCCTACTTTTGTAATATATGAAAATGGGAAATAAAAGACTTAAATTATAAATTATTTTTTTTAAAAATGGGACTTATGGATCTCCAGATTTGTGTACTACAGGGAAAACCATTTAAACCATTTAAACACTGTAAGAGGAAGTGCTAATGCCATCAAAATGTATTAGCACAGTAAATGTCATTTTCTACCTGTATAACACTTCCTTCCCCATATTATTGAATTTAAGATTTTATGATATGTTCAAGTAATAGGCAAAGCTATATTTCTGTTACATAAACAAGGCAATCTTGGACTGTTTGAAGTGTCTCTCAATACAGGAGGAAAACGACCAAGCAGTTTGTTTGATTAAACTTAGAATCAGTCACTTGACTTCCAGGTAAACGGGAAAAACTTGAATACACAGAGCACACTTATATTTGTTGACACTAAATCAATTAAGTATGAAGTCACATGCAACAGTGACAGACAATAGTTCAGTCGTCAATCTCCGTTAATGAAGAGTAGAATCAGGACTTGGTGTTGCTTTAGAGTGGCTAATCTAACCAGTGTTGTTTCAACCAGAGTGGTTTAACCTACCAGGTGGGGAACAATTGCTCATTAGCCTGTCAATCCTAATTAATTGACTAAGGTCACTGCGACCTCAGTGGGTGTGGCCCTTTGATCAGTGATTGAGACAAAGGACTATGATGTCAGATCAAACATCAGTGAAGACAACCATTAGAAACATGGTTGAGCATACAACATGGTCACATCAAGGTATTTGAAGTTGCTCTAATTGTCCTCAAGATGTATTTCAGCAGGTGTGAAATCAAACACATTAATCTTAGATGGATTTATGTTTAAACAAATCAAGCTGTTTGCCAAATACTTTAAAACTTCAGACTGCTTAATTAAGAGTCTTGTGTTTGCCTTACACTGCATGTTTCAGACAGGTATTTTTAGATGCTGACAGGTGATGTTTGTTCGGGATGACAAACATATCATTTCACTGTAAACTGTTGGTGAATGTGAGCTTCTCTACAAGCTGAGTTCCAGGCCTAGTACCATGTGAACACATTGAAACTCACCATCCACAACCAACTGCCATGTACTGGCTCAACCATGTCATTATTTACACTGACAGGTAAACACTGCCATAAAATGTAAAATAAGCATTATCAAGTCAAACATTACTGGTTCAGCCCTTCTCGTGATGATGAATCATGATGTTTAACTTCTGTGCATTGACATAAAGGTTGGTTTGTGTTTGTCAAACTGGGGCATTAACAATGAATATTTATTATGCACAGATTAGTTTCCCTGAAAGCTGGGACATATACTTATCTGCTACAGATTTACCTTAATTCATAGGTTAAAACATAATAAATGTTAAGGATAAAAAGTTTACCTCATGTGAGTGGCTAAGCGGGTTCTGGATCTTCATCCCTCGATTTCGCCTGAACGACCCTGTCTTTGTCCACTTCTGCAACGCTGCTACGTCAGTTCTCTCTTTCTCTCTCTGAAATGAAATCGGTAAATCCAGGTAAAACACAGAGGCAGCCATTGCGGGGGTGGGCTAAGTCAAGACGGAATTTCGACATATCGGACTACTGGAGGACGTGATCGGGGTGACAGTGAACCTGAAGTTCATGCAAGAAGGAAGTCAAATCACTGCAATCAACACCGTGACTGATGGGAATCAGTTGTCAATCAAACTAGTGCATTCAAGTATATCCCAGTAATCAGCTGTGAGAGAGATTGTTGAGGCCAGGACTCAACGTCCTGTCTGAATTTTAGGTGATAGGTTATCAACTAGAATCAACATAGTTTAGATAAATGAACAACCCCCTATCTGTTTAAAATATTCCACATGTTTGATGGGATTTGGTATGAGGATAGTCAATGTTCAGATCCAGTTATATTGGAAAGGTTCTCACATTTATCATGTTCATAACGACAAGATCTGGATCCAGTTGAACACAACATAATACAGAGAAACAGAACAAGACAAGTAAAGACATGGGGGATGAAGAATGTAACCACTTAGCAAACTAAACCTATGTCTCAAAATCCTGCAAGCTCAACCACAAATATATGGCTGGGAGTTCCCAGATGGCAATAAGTTTACACACCTACAGAATGTACTTATTATATGATGACCCAATACCTACATAGTTGCTCTCTCATTTCACCTGACTGCTTTAATGCTGAAATAATGCTGAGGCAGCTATAAATTTTAACTGTTTCCAACTCTGGGGAATGCCAAGCACCAACGACCCCTACCCTGAACCAGCCGTGAAAATAGGAAATTGCAAGTGGTGACTATAATCTCATTCACAGAAACTAAATATGAAAATGATGAAATGAATTGAAAATCATCTCTATGATTTGTTCTTCAAGTTCACGAAGTTGTAAAGTGGAATTTGAAAGGAACAATATATGAAAATATAAAGGACAGCTTACCATGCTGGAATACCTAAACGGGAGGGACAGACGACGCACAATTTGTGCCATTTTCACACCTGATGATCACTTAATGATAGAACCTAATTGTTAAAAACAATCAGCAAGTTGATCCTTGATAAAACATCAGAATCCTTAAGTGTGTCTTGTTTTGACAATACCTGCTGTAACAACACCAGAATATGATTACTCTGTGCAAGTAACTTAATACAATGCAGGAATATGATTACTCCTTGCAAGTAACCCAATACATTCAGCCAGCAGCACACCTGGGTGTTCAGTTTGTACAACCTGATAAATCTAAAACACTCAGGAAAATATTCCCATATCAAATGACAATGGTTCCAACATCAAAGGAAGTAATCATAAATCTGAGCCAAACATGAACCCTTCACACAGCACAACCCTGAGTCTGAACTGTCTGTGGAACCAAGTCTGTGTCTGTGTTTTCTCAGACTTCAAGATAGAATGACTTCCATTTTGGACTACCGAATTATATATATGATGAAAACCTATAGCAACATGTGGAAATATTTAGCAGCTTATTAGCCTTGAGACAGACACTTACATTCAAACCAAGACCACATGGTGGTGCAGGGGAGGTGGGCTTTATGACTCTGTTATTGCCCGGGTTACTGTTGGATATGGCTGGGCTATATGGTGCTTTATGGCCCTATACAGGAACTGGCTGTAATTGACCAGGGAAGCTTTAATTAAGGGAGTGGACAACTGTTATCAGGGATAGTAGGGCTGGTAGAATCAAAGTTCACTGTGTGGGACAGAGATTGCTACAGACAGGTGACTATCAGCATCAAGGAGAAATGCCTGGTGCCATACCTTCAGATCTGACATCAATCCTAAGAACCTGTGGCAATAATTAAGGTTTTTAAAAAGTTTGTATGACTTGAATCCATAAATTGAATCTAAATCCTTTATTATTAACCTCTTTTCAAAATGTCTTAACAGTGCAGTGACAGAAGATAGTAATAGCAAGCAAGTATCATGAAACAGTAAGTCAGGAACATTTTGCTAGGTGTAATTCAGTGACATGAACTAAAGGGAGAGTCTGATTGACATAGATTATATGTCAAATATTTGGTTAAAGACAGCACTTACATTAATGCTTTTTTCTGATTTGAATGTGTTAATATCTGCTGATGGAATAGCAATGGTCAGCTCAGTAATAATTCATATAGAAGATTGCATGACAGTTTTCCCTTTCACATAGCAGAATGTGACATTTGCTTTGATTAAACTGACTGACTGACTGAGTTTGGTTTTACGCCGCTTTTAGCAATATTCCAGCAACATCACGGCGGGGGACACCAGAAATGGGCTTCACACATTGTACCCATGTGGGGATTCGAACCCGGGTCTTCAGCGTGACGAGCCAACGCTTAAACCATTAGGCCACCCCACCGCCCCTGCTTTGATTAAACATATCTATCATTGATACTTGTGAGCATGAGATAACATAGTATGTGAATGTAATCTGTTCACAATCAGAAAATCACTGCTAAATGAAAAGCCTTTAAATATCATTTATAGAAAGTTGTGGCAGTTCTGAAATACTAATATCTACAGGTGGGGGTGGGGTACAAGATAAATATTACAGGTGACCCTCCCTACCTGTGTAGTGGTTGCATCTACAGGTATGACGGGGTAATATACATATATTGTACAGGTGCCCCGTCCTACCTGTACACTGATTGCATCTACAGGTATGACAGGGGGTAATATCTATCTTGTACAGGTGCCCCTCCTACCTGTACACAACTGAGTGCATCTACAGGCATGACAGGGGGTAATATCTATCTTCTACAGGTGCCCCACCCTACCTGTACACTGATTGCATCTACAGGTATGACAGGGGGTAATATCTATCTTGTACAGGTGCCCCTCCTACCTGTACACAACTGAGTGCATCTACAGGCATGACAAGGGGTAATATCTATCTTCTACAGGTGCCCCACCCTATCTGTACACTGATTGCATCTACAGGTATGACAGGGGGTAATATCTATCTTGTACAGGTGCCCCACCCTACCTGTACACTACTGATTGCATCTACAGGTATGACAGGGGGTAATGTCTATCTTGTACAGGTGCCCCACCCTACCTGTACACTACTGATTGCATCTACAGGTATGACAGGGGGTAATATCTATCTTGTACAGGTGCCCCACCCTACCTGTACACTACTGATTGCATCTACAGGTATGACAGGGGGTAATATCTATCTTGTACAGGTGCCCCACCCTACCTGTACACTGATTGCATCTACAGGTATGACAGGGGGTAATATCTATCTTGTACAGGTGCCCCACCCTACCTGTACACTACTGATTGCATCTACAGGTATGACAGGGGGTAATATCTGTCTTGTACAGGTGCCCCACCCTACCTGTACACTACTGATTGCATCTACAGGTATGACAGGGGGTAATATCTATCTTGTACAGGTGCCCCACCCTACCTGTACACTACTGATTGCATCTACAGGTATGACAGGGGGTAATATCTGTCTTGTACAGGTGCCCCACCCTACCTGTACACTGATTGCATCTACAGGTATGACAGGGGGTAATATCTATCTTGTACAGGTGCCCCACCCTACCTGTACACTACTGATTGCATCTACACTGTGGTATGACAGGGGGTAATATCTATCTTGTACAGGGCTCCACCCTACCTGTACACTGATTGCATCTACACTGTGGTATGACAGGGGGTAATATCTATCTTGTCCAGGTGCCCCACCCTACCTGTACACTACTGATTGCATCTACAGGTATGACAGGGGGTAATGTCTATCTTGTACAGGTGCCCCACCCTACCTGTACACTGATTGCATCTACAGGGTATGACAGGGGTAATATCTATCTTGTCCAGGTGCCCCACCCTACCTGTACACTACTGATTGCATCTACAGGTATGACAGGGGGTAATGTCTATCTTGTACAGGTGCCCCACCCTACCTGTACACTGATTGCATCTACACTGTGGTATGACAGGGGGTAATATCTATCTTGTACAGGGCTCCACCCTACCTGTACACTACTGATTGCATCTACACTGTGGTATGACAGGGGGTAATATCTATCTTGTACAGGTGCCCCTCCTACCTGTACACTACTGATTGCATCTACAGGCATGACAGGGGGTAATATCTATCTTCTACAGGTGCCCCACCCTACCTGTACACTGATTGCATCTACAGGTATGACAGGGGGTAATATCTATCTTGTACAGGTGCCCCTCCTACCTGTACACAACTGAGTGCATCTACAGGTATGACAAGGGGTAATATCTATCTTCTACAGGTGCCCCACCCTATCTGTACACTGATTGCATCTACAGGTATGACAGGGGGTAATATCTATCTTGTCCAGGTGCCCCACCCTACCTGTACACTACTGATTGCATCTACAGGTATGACAGGGGGTAATGTCTATCTTGTACAGGTGCCCCACCCTACCTGTACACTGATTGCATCTACAGGTATGACAGGGGGTAATGTCTATCTTGTACAGGTGCCCCACCCTACCTGTACACTGATTGCATCTACAGGTCTGATTGCATCTACACTGTGGTATGACAGGGGGTAATATCTGTCTTGTACAGGTGCCCCACCCTACCTGTACACTACTGATTGCATCTACAGGTATGACAGGGGGTAATATCTGTCTTGTACAGGTGCCCCACCCTACCTGTACACTGATTGCATCTACAGGTATCACAGGTGGCAATATCTATCATGTACAGGTATGGTAACTACCATTAAGTCAAACCAAACACGACCCCCAGGTCTGTCTGTAATCTATACAAAATCTCTTATCAACATGGACAAACACATACAGTCAATAGGCAACATTTTTCACTAAGCCTCTGATCAAATCTTTTTCTGCGTTAAGATCACCTGAGATATAATCACAATATTTTGACTTGCACTTTCTGAGATAATATCAACAGGCATACCTCCTGAGTCCCTACCTCGGGGGCCACCCTCCCCTGGAAGACAACCCTTAATACAAATACCACCTCCATACAATCCCC